GAAAAATGTCATCTCGTTGGGAGCCTTAGAATCCAAAGGCTCAGTAGTCACTATGAGAGATGGAGTTTTAAAAGTCACATATGGCGTACTTGTGATGATGAAGGGCATCAGGAAAAATAATTTGTATTACTACCAAGGTAGTACAATTATTGGAACAGTTGTAGCAGCTTTCGGAGTGATGATTTGGACGCAACCCAGTTGTGGCATATGCTGTTGGGACATGCTGGAGAGAAATCCTTTCAAATTATGGAAAAGAAAGGATTGTTGAAAGGTGCAAAGGCTTGCAAATTGAACTTTTACGAGCATTGTGTTCTGGGAAAGCATAAGAGAGTGAAGTTTGGCACCACTATACATAATACAAAAGGTATTGTAGATTATATTCACTCATATGTATGGGGTCCTTCAAAGACATCGTCTTTGGGAGGAAACCATTATTTTGTAACTTTTGTAGATGACTTTTCCAGAAGAGTTTGGGTGTATCCGATGAAGTCTAAAGATGAAGTGCTTCAAATTTTCCTGAAATGGAAAAATATGATCGAGAACCAGACTGGTAGAAAGATCAAACGTCTTAGGACGGACAATGGAGGGGAATATAAAAGTGACCCATTCTTTGACGTTTGCCATGAGTATGGTATTGTTCGACACTTCACTGTTAGACATACACCACAACAGAATGGGGTGGCAGAACGTATGAATCGAACACTATTGGAGAAAGTTCGATGTATATTGTCTAATGCAAGGTTAGACAAGGCATTTTGGGCTGAGGCTGTGACATATGCTGGCAATCTCATTAATCGTCTGCCGTCATCAGCGATAGGAGGAAAAACATCATTGGAGGTATGGTCTGGAAAACCTGCTACTGATTATGATTCCTTACATGTATTTGGATCCACTGCTTATTATCATGTGAAGGAATCCAAGCTTGATCCGAGAGCAAAGAAGGCTCTCTTTATGGGAATCACCCATTGAGTGAAGGGATTCCGTCTTTGGTGTTTAGACACCAAGAAGATGATTTGTAGCAGAGATGTTACCTTTGATGAATCTGCCCTATTAAAGAAGGTAACAAGTGAAGCTGTCCAGACAAGTAGTACTCCGCAGTAGGTGGAGCATACTCCAAAACAGGTGGAGTTTCAGCAGATGATGATCCCAGAAGTTGATGCAGCTGATTTTTCAACTCCAATAGAAGAATCAGAAGATGAAGAGGTTCAAACCCAAGAACCATTGGAGACACCAGAAACACTTGCAGTTACAAGGCCAAGGAGAGAAATTCGTAGACCTGCTCGATTCGTTGATATGGTGGCCTATGCTCTTCCAGTTTTTGATGATGATATCCCTATCACTTACCAAGAAGCAATACAAATCTTGGAAATTGATAAGTGGAAAAGTGCCATGGATAAAGAAATGCAATCTCTCCAAAAGAACGACACTTGGAAACTGGCACAATTACCGAAAGGTAAAAGAGCCATTGGATGCAAGTGGGTATTTGTAAAGAAAGATGGATCTCATAACAAGAAAGATGTTAGCTACAAGGCACGGTTGGTAGCTAAAGGCTACGCTCAAAAGGAGGGAATCGACTACAATGAAGTATTTTCCCCTATTGTGAAGCATTCTTCCATTAGAATATTGTTGGCCTTGGTAGCATAGTTGAATTTGGAGCTAGCTCAACTTGATGTAAAGACGGCTTTCTTGCACGGTGATTTAAAAGAGGAGATCTATATGACACAGCCAGAAGGATACAAAGATGGTGGTTGTGAGAAATGGGTTTGTAAGCTGAACAAATCGCTATATGGATTGAAGCAATCTCTGAGGCAGTGGTACAAGCAATTTGATAGCTTTTTGAGGAGGAAAAAGTATACTAGAAGCAAATATGATCATTGTGTGTATTTGCAAAAGCTCAAAGATGGATCTTTCATTTATCTTCTCTTGCACGTTGACGATATGTTGATCGCTTCGAAGAGTCAAAATGAGATAGACAAATTAAAGGCTCAGTTGAATCAAGAGTTTGAGATGAAAGATCTAGGTGAGGCCAAGAAGATTCTTGGTATGGAGATAAGCAGAGATAGGCAGAGATAGACAGAGAGGGAAGCTTTGTTTAACACAGAAGCAGTATCCGAGAAAGATATTACAATGTTTTGGCATGAATGAAAATACCAAACATGTAAGTATCCCATTGACTTCTCATTTGAAACTTAGTTCTCAATTATCTCCTAAAACTAACGAAGAACGAGTGTATATGGCAAAAGTTCCATATGCTAATGCAGTTGGGAGCTTGATGTATGCAATGGTGTGTACGCGTCCTGACATTTCACAAGCAGTTGGAGTTGTGAGCAGGTACATGAATGATCCTGGAGAAGGACATTGGCAAGCTGTGAAATGGATTCTACGGTATCTCCAACAAACCGTGGATGTTGGTTTAGTTTTTGAACAGGATGAAGCACTTGGTCAGTGTATGGTTGGATATGTTGATTCCGATTATGCTGGTGATTTGGATAAGTGTCGATCAACTACTGGGTATTTGTTTACTCTTGCTAAAGCCTCAGTAAGTTGGAAGTCTACATTGCAATCTACGGTGGCCTTGTCTACTACAGAGGCAGAATACATGGCAGTTTCAGAGGCTGTAAAGGAAGCAATTTGGCTTAACGGGTTGATGGAAGACTTAGGAGTTGTTCAAAGTCACATTAGTCTCTATTGTGACAGTCAGAGCGCTATTCACTTAGCGAAAAATCAAGTCTACCATTCAAGGACTAAGCATATCGACGTGATGTATCACTTTGTGCGGGAGATCTTTGAAGAAGGAAAGATTCTACTTCAGAAAATTACGACATCAAAAAATCCTGCAGATATGATGACCAAGGTGGTAACAGTAATCAAGTTCAATCATTGTTTGAACTTGATTAACATCCTGAAAGTATGAACACCTTCGGGTGTGTGGCGCTTGTGAGCGCAATTAGAGGCACTACAAATTTGGGGAGTTGAAGAAGTTGAGTAGGCTTGGTAATTTCAAGCCAAGGTGGAGATTTGTTAGATTTGTCTAGAAATTAAGTTGACAAGTTGGAAATTTCATCTTGGTTGGTGGCCAAACTTTGAATATATTGTTCTTGAAACTCAACTATAAATAGGCCTAAGTATTTCCATTAGAAATCATCCCAAAAACAAGTTCTCTCTTCCTCTTGTATTCTTCATTCTCCCACTTTGGGAATTCCAAAGAATTCCATTTGTTGTAATATTGGCGATATAGTGAAGTTATCATCCGGTGTGGTACCCGAGGAGTAGACGATATTCTCGTCGAACCTCGTAAATTTGGTGTGTTCTCTCCTTTATTGTTTTTTATTCGGTTCTTTTCCATTGTGTTTCAATATTCAATAGTTTGACAGGTTTATCCGCTGTGCAACCTTTGGTGGTTTTAATCTTGACATTTTAGGTCAATTTTAAAACTACGTTCATGTGAGAAATAACCCGTTCTCCCCAACAGCTGGTTGGTTGTTTGATTGTTTTTTGAATTGGGTGTTAAAGTTTCAATTATGAAGAAGGAATGTTTGATTTTTATTCCCTAGGCTTTTCTAATTATGAATTCCTTTAGTTTTCTGTCAATAGCCTAGTTTGAGTGCTATGTTACTTGGACTCATGAGTGATGAATATGGGTATGTGTTTGAATTAGGTCTCCTCCAATTTCTTCCAAGATTTTCATGTATTTGGAGACTTATTATAGGATCATATCGTATACTCGTGTTCGTAAATGTGTCAGATACGAATGTCGGATAAATGAAGAGTTGTACCAACATATTTTTGGATTTCCATTTCCTGTTCTGTATTGACAGTGTGATATCTATGTATTTGATGTTTGAGGTGATTCTTCATATTAGGAAATTGGAGGAAGTACTACCAGGAGGGAGAACACATTTTGTGGAATCATGTGGTTTGCCTTTAAGCACTTATTTTAGCGTCGTTAAGCTGCTATGGTTGATGGAGAACATCAACGAGGTTAAAGCTGCTATTAAAAAAGGGGATGCCTTGTTTGGAACTATAGACACATGGCCAATCTGGAACTTAACTGGCGGTCCAAATCCAATCCAAAGAACGTCAACTAGAAGCTAGGAGTCTCTTTTTAAATTGATTCTTAAATTTTAAATATTCTACTCTCATCCCCAAACTATGACTTATTCTAAATTAGTCCTTCAACTTTTGAACATTCCAATTTTATTACCAAACTGTGACCCTCATTTTAAATTGATCCTCAAACATCTGAATCTTCCAATTTCATCTCTAAATTCATTCAAATGTGTATTCAGTTTCCACCATAGTTTAACTTAAGCTTTATCTTTTCTAACATATAAAAAAATAACTTGGCCTAACAATTTTATTAATAAAAGAAGTGAGTAGTATATACGTATAAAAAGTTAAGTGACCAATTTAGAATAAAGGTCATACAACTTAAAGGCTGTTTGTTTGGCTCTGAATGGAACCATTCAACGCTGAATGCTAAACCGTTCAACATTCAAACTGTTTGTTTCTCACCTTTGAATGATTCAACACAGAAATACATTCTGAATGATTCAACACAAAAGTATATTCTGAATAATTCAGAGCCATTATCAAACAACATGTTACATTTAGAACTAATTCATACATAGGCTCTGAATCATTCAGCATTTGAATCATTCAGCGCTTAATCATTCTGATGTAAACAAACAACCTCTTAGAGATGAAATTAGAATGTTTAAAAGTTTTAGGACTAGTTTAGAATGATGATCATAATTTGAGGACGTGTCACGCAAGTAACTCTTAAAAATTCAGCACTGAAACATACTAGCACCGTTGGAAATATCCAAAACAATTATCATTCAGATGTTAAAAGCCAGAATAACACGATTTGCAGGAGAACTGGAAATGGTTTGAAAAGAGCTCTGCCAATTACTAGAAAACCATTAAAAGAGTTGCATATACATCAAGAGATCTGTTATTAAAGGAAATAAATGCATCAAAAAGTTGGAGCCTAAGAAACAAAGAAAAAATTATGTGAAGAATGATGTCAATTCCATTAGCAGCTAATAAAAAGCCTACAAAACATCTAAATGCATGTGTGGGGGGGGGGGAATTATACTGACATGGGAAGCACAACTAAGAGTCCTAACTATCATATCCTGCAGAAGATTGAAAACAAAATCTGCAATCTTGAATTCCATCTTCACAATTGCATCCAACTCTCTGATACTCCATACTGAAGCCAATCCTTTGCGCACATGAGAGCTTCGAGTGTCACCGGTCGTAATGAACTGTTGTAATTGTTCATCTTTTTTCTCTCCGTGTCAAAAATGGAATCAGGATTAACGGTAGAAAATGGGATTGACATAATGTCGGAAGCCATCCTCCAGAGAATAGGATACTTTGTCTTGTTTAGTTTCCACCAGCTCAAAATATTGAAATCTTGTTCCCGCAGCAAAAGAGACTCTTCGAGATATTGATCCAATTCCGATTTTGTTTGCTGGCTACCACTGATCTCAGAGATATAGACATCAAAATCTGAAAGTCCATCTCCAACAGAAATAAGAGGATCTTGAGAAGGTACTTCTCGGGATGCTACTTCCGGCTGGGGCGTTTCATGACAAGCTACTTGTTCAGATGGTCCCTCTTTAAGATATCCCTCTTCGAGTAGTCCGTGAAGGTATCCTTCTTCAGGGTGTTCAATTTTGGGGATGATGCTCCCATTCTCTTCAGGGATACTGCTTTCGTTCTGTTCTTCCACAAACATTTTAGCTGGATGAACTTCTTGTGCGGTATATTCAAGGTAGAGCTCATGAATCCCATCATCAACGATCTTAATCCAAATTCCAGCATCGTCACCATATATCCTAGAGAAGCTAAACTCAACAAGCTTCATTTTGAACCTTGGATCCATTACCACACCAATTGCCAAAGCTAAGAAGCAGTCACTCCAGTAACTATCAAACTTCTCCTTCAAAGGCTTGGTCAAGCTGCTGATAGAAGGGTCATTGCTCATTGAGGCATGCGTCAACTCTAATTGAACTTTTGACACTTCATGATAGAATGCACTGGCAGTCGGGCATGTTTGGGTGGTTAAAATACTGACAGCATCAAAGAAAAGCTTCAGGTATGTGCAGAGAATTTCTATTTGCTTCCAATCATCCATTGATGGGGCTATGCTATAATCGGGAATGGAGGTCTCCAAGCAAAGAAATACCTGCTTTAGTTCGCAGGCAACCAACAACATGTCATATGTCGTGTTCCATTTTGTTTGGTCGTCGATGAATATGTCTTTCGAGCTGGAGTATTTAAGTTGTTCCTTTAAATGGAAAAATGTCTCCTCGTGTGTATCTGAAGTTTTCACAAACTTGACACAATCCCGGATTTTGTTCACGGTTTCCCCTACAGCCCATAGTGCCTCTTGTGCAAGAAGACTTATAACTCGAGCAAAGCAGTTTCCAATCAATAACTGACCATGAAGCACATAAGGATTCCTGACAGAAAACAGAGCTCTTAGGCTTTCGTTTATGCTCTCGTTCGAGAAGGACTGATCAAGTGTAAGGGTAAATAGCCTGTCCTCCAAATGCCAATCAGATAGACAAGAAATGACAGCTTGCTGTAAGGCACCGTCTGAATCAGGAGAGGGTACCGTGACTACATTAAGCAGGCAACGATGCAAATTCCATTCACTATCGATGAATTGTCCTCTTAGAAAAACATAGCCCACAGTTTGATTTGAAATCCACAAATCTAATGCAAGGCTGACCCGGCCTGGGATTTCATTGATGAAATTGAGAAGGATCTGCTTCTCTTTCAAGTACAGAGCGACACAATCTCCTTGAATAGTGTTGAAACTTACCATATTGAACTGGGGTTGGAGAGTCTGAACAAAATCAATAAAACCAGAGTGTTCTACAATGTGGAGGGGATACTCATGCATTATGATCATCTTAGCTATCTCATGGTTGCAGTTCTCTTGGTTAAAAGGGATGTTTTCTGTTCTATATGTTACTCGTTGTCTTTTTCGAGTTCCATCAATGGCATTACCAGTTTTAGGGTCCGACATCTGTTGATTTCTCTGACGACTCACGGGGCAGATACCCAACTCAATGTGTCTTTTGAGGTGGCTAGTTCCAGCTACCTTTGAACCAGTAATGTAAGCAAATGACCTCTTGCACTGATTACAGAAGGCCCTGATAGATCCATCTCCGACAATCTCCTCGGTAAAATAATCCCACACAATAGACTTCTTCCTCTTCCGTTTATTCGGCTGCACTTCAGAACCAAGTGACTCACCGTTCTCGATATGAGTAATAGGTGTATTAGGCATGGTAACCGGAACAATTGCAGTCTCCATCTCAATTTACTGTCCTGCAATAATAGAAGACATCTGATTACAGATTCTCATTCAGATTATGAAGACAACAACTAGTAGTCGCCAGATAAGATTGATACAAAATTTCAGTCATATTTGCAAAATAACAATCCTGAAACTCGAATGATCGATAATTGAAACCCCAAACTTCAATGAAAACACATTACAAAATAAACAGGAAGAAACATTTAGTCTCTCAAATAAGAAAAAAAGACCTAGAAAAGGCGAACAACTTGTCGAAATATGCACAATAGCTAGGGAAGAAGAAAAGAAACAATACTATAAGTAGGAAGAAAAAGGTTTCTGAGCAAAACCCATTAACGATAAGAACTTCCCAAGTAAAACCCATAACCACGAAATCAAAAAGAAGGCTTCGAAACACAAAACTACACTGAAATAAACTCAAAGATTAGATATCTCGTTTCGAGGAAAACCCAAGTTATAGATTTATATGCTTATTTATTTTACCTGAATAATTTGAATTTCGGGTAACAGAGGGAAGCGCCAAGGAAGGTTAATTGGGCTGGAACAGAGGCGAAAAGAAGTTCAGAGCTTTGTTTTGTTCAGTGAGAAAAAGAGAGAGAGAGAGAGAGAGATCAAAACCCTAAATTGGAATTGGACCTATGAATTAAATACACATCAGCCTTTATACACGGAGAAAAAGTCTTAATTGGATTTGGACCATCTCAAAGCTCCAATTTTTTTTTTTCCCCTCTTCGGGGGCGGATCTACCGTAACCTTCGTGGGCTCTACTCTCTTTATCCTGATTAACAGTAGGAAGTAAAGAATTGTTTTCAGGTAATCAATTTTGATTTATAATTTAATGCAAATATTGGCTAATGCAAAGCATACTTAAGGTGGTCTTGTGTTGAGTCTGAAATTCAAATTTTTTATATTAATTGTTTATTTTATTATTAGTGTTCACCTTAAAAATTTATTTTGTCCACTTTTACAAAAAATTTCAATAATTAATAAGTATGTGTTTACACTTAAAAATATTTTTTTGATCCGCCTTTGATTGCAAACCTTAGTTTCAATTCATGGGTTTCAAACCTAAATCTAAACATTTTTTAACATAACAAGTTTAACCTATAGAGGATAGGTTGAACAAGGTTTGTTGATCAAAGGAGAAGCATGAGAGTTTAAATCCTCCTTTTTTTAATAAGATATTTTAACAATATTACATATATTAGATGGTTTTAATAATTAAATACTCTTTTAATTTTAATTCTTAACTGTTATTACGTATGTAATCATATTAATGATCCATACAAGTATAAATTTTAAAATTAACATATGTCTGGGTTAGTACTCAATTGAATCAAGTTGAGTAGAAAAAATTTGAGTTAGTCAAGTTTAAGAGTATTATTTTATTATTTAAATTTTATTTTATTTTTTAATATATTCAAGTCAAATCAATTATATTTATTTGAGTTTCTGTTTAAAATTAAATATAATTATATATAGTATTATTGTAGTGATTGGTTCAAACTTAAAAGACTCTCTAATCATGTAACCCCCTCAGACTATTACAGGTGACCCGAGCCGATCTGAGGTGTCATATTAGGGATACCGGAATGACCCACACTAAAAATATGGGAAAGATACAATTTTATCCAACAAAAATTAAAAAAAAAATGTAAAACTGTTTCAACATAACTATATAAAATTAAGAAATCGTTCTATACAATATCAAAACAAGTTTTAAACATTGATATAAAAATAAATTGTGACCTATATGTCCCCTAATTACATTTGTACCGTACTCCACATGTGACATTGAAGGAACTCTCATTATTGATGTCGATAACTACATAGGATCAATTCTTTTTAATCTGAAATAACAAGTAATATATGAGCTTTGAGAAAGCCCAATAATACAAAATTATTGCATAAAAGCTAAAGGTCAAGCAGATATATGGTAAACCATCCAATTTTCTTAGTAATTAAGGCATATATGATTTCTAATATTGGGTTGGGGTTCATTAATTATTTCTTCAAGAAATAATGAGGAAACTTACAATTCAAAGGTAACATCCAAAGAGACAAATTTAGGAGATTGAATTGGAGATTCTAGTGTGTTTCAACAAAACTAAAGTTAAGTGTAGAAATAGTTTAAAAATAGTAGTAGTTTATTTCAACAACATAGATTATAAAATTTTAGTAATACCCTCCAACTAAACACCGATATGTAGTTTTTCAGAACCACATCCATTAGGACTTACCTTAGGCCCATTGGTCATAGGTGCCAACCTGATAGGATACCTCATGTCCATACAGAACTACCAGCTTGATTGGAGTTGAATATGCAAAGACTCCATAATAGATTCTGGATAGTACCCCAATATAAATCAGATTAAACAATAAACAACAATATAAGAAATTGTGAGTAAAATATTGTAAAAGTGATTGTGTTGTTTATTTAAATCATATAACTACCCTCCACCCTTACACCGAATTGCAGTCCCCCAAAACTACATACGTAAGGATTTACCTTATACCCATTGGATATAGGAGCCAACTTGAGGGAATACCTTAGGTCCATAAGGAATTACTTGCATGATCGGAGCTGAACTTACAAAGACTCCATGATAGATCCTAGAGGGTACCCCCAAAAAAATTCAATTTTCATACGGTCATCAGTAATATCAGGAATCATGAATCAAATATATTTTTTGTATTAATAAATAGAAACTAGAGATCATACTTTTAAATTAGAGGAACAATCACAATTTCAAATCAGAGAAAATAACCAAATACACATAGAACACACTAAAGAGTCTAATTTATTCTTCAGAAGTACTTGATAATTACCATGAAGGAAAAACAAAATTTTAGAAAGTATTAAATTGCTTTCAGAAATGAGATCCTTATTGAAAAGGGTATGATATCTAACAAACCTAATCAGACATTCAAAAATAGGTACCCTAGGATCATTTAAGATTCAAATATATTTGAAGGTGTTCAGGAACCTTTACATCAGAATTATTTAAGAATTCAAATGTTTCTAGAGTGATTCCATCCATAGAACTTATAAGGGCATTTTAGTCATATTATTCTTAGGGAATTTGGTAATTCAATATAATAAGGACTTACCTTATACCCATTGGATATAGGAGCCAACTTGAGGGAATACCTTAGGTCTATAAGGAATTACTTGCATGATCAGAATCATCACTAAACACAATCTGAGGGGACAAATGGATATTTAGGCGATATTTATCTTATTCTTGTATTGTACAAAACTCAAAGAGGACTGACTTATTTGGGTCGTGTATCGGAATCCTTAGTGATGTTATAACGTTTAAGCTTTATCAGTATTTCAGAACCTATCCAAAGAAATTCACTTAATCTGAGTTAAGAGAGTATTTAAGCCATTCTAAAACATGAGGGTATTTGGTTATTTGGAGCATGAGGGTATTCATGTCATTTTCTTCATATTAATCATATGCATCATGTCCGATCAATTGTTCTTTGGGTGTTTGTTTAGAAATAAAAAATTCTAAGACTTTCACTATCTCAGAGGCTATAAACTGATTTCTGAAATCTTACCAAACATGTTAGGAATTTAATATGTGGATCAGTAGCCTCATCGGGTAAAGTTTGAATTCTCAAGTTAATTTCAATATCAGGGGCAAATCCTTGTCATTTTTACACTAAAAGTCTATTTTCGTAATTCCATATCCAAATATTTCTAACATTGGTTATTGTCTTTCCATGTCTGATTAACTCGGTAACTGTTTGTCACTTTGGTCTAGTCTGTGTGCTATATTGGCTCTGCGTTACTTGTCGAGACATTTGTCACCTAGTACCAAGTCCTTTGATGGCAACAACCTACTAGGTGGAGAGAGATAAGACATCCAGGGGTACACATCCGACTAGATTGAAGCCCTAAGTGGATTATGCTGCAACCCCACCCCTCACAAAAAAAGCCTACCCAAAAAGCAACAAGCCAACCTTTCCCTCCACTCAAACTCTAAGAGCATCCACCTCATATTAAAAAAAACACTTTTCCACCCTTCCCCAAACAAAAAATAAAGAGCCAACCTTTCCATCTAAACTAAAAAAAGCTCCCCTAAATTTCATAATAACATCCCTCAAATATTTGGATCCAAAGATCTTGTCGTTGTTTGTTGCCTTATTAATGGGAAATTGGCAGGTATACTAGCCTCTGTTAGTTTTCGTTCCAAGCGGTTGTTGTGTGCTTTCGTTTATTGTTTTCTTCGCTCCTCGACCAAGTCATTGGTCGTGTGGGTTGTGGACTAGTGGGCGTGGATGCTACTACTCTTACGTAATGGGCATCTAAGTGGTGATATGGTTGTGTGTGTTGGCAGACTCCTTGCTACTTACATCGAATTGTCGTGCTGCACTCCCCTTCAATATCTCCCCTTGCGATATTGGAACCAAAGGAATGCTATCTGATTGATCTTGTTAGTACTCATATACTTGTTTCAAAGATTAAGGGTTTGTTTGTTTCACTGTAATTGGTTTTTTGAAAAATGAATTATGGAAAATGAATTACAATTCTTAGAAAATAGTTTCTGGAAAGTATTTCTGGTGTTTGGATGATATTTTTTAATTCATTTTCCAATGTTTGGTAATCTTTACTGAAAATATTTTTTTGGAATTTGTTTGATATGAACACATATTGTAATTTTTTTATCTTTTTATTTTTAATTGAATTAATTTTATTGTTAAAAAAATTTTTTATCACTTTTTTGTATATATTACAACATTTTATAAGTATATCAAATTAAAATTTAATGTCTCTATATGCTCAGTGGTTTCTCAAAGGTTATTAGTATATGCTCGGAGGCGAAAATCTGGAGAGTTTTTCAAGGAATTCGATTGGCCTGGGAGATTGATTTCAAACGTGTTTTGGTTGAGGTTGATAGTAAGGATATAAACTCACTGTTTACACAGGGTGGAAGAATGGAATTGCATTTACATTTACAGTATCATATTGTTGATTTACTGAATAGAGAATGTCATTTGAAGTTCGCTCATGTCCTTCGTGAAGGTAATCAGGTTGCAGATGGCATGGCTAAACTAGCGTGGAGCCTCCCTGTTGGTAGTCAAACCTATTGGAATCCGCCGGCAGCTATTCATGCTACGTAGCAGACTGAAGTAGGAGATGCTTAAACAAGTTGTTGTAGGTTTGTAGCATGCGGTATATTCATTTTTTAATATTAAAAAAAATTAGATAATATAAATAATTTATGTCAATTGTATTATAAATATATTATTTTAGATTTAAAAGTCTCGATGATTCTTATTCAATGATATTTGTAACACCCAAATCCTATTTAAAATGAAACTCGGTGGGTTTGGGCATTACACGGACCACTGAAGTGGCTAACCTAAATTTTTCTTAAAGCAATTCATTTTGCAAATCATAATTCATCGCCTTGAAGCAATATAATAAAAGTCGTTAAGTTTACAAATCAGGGGAGCTCCCAAATAAATTCTCAAAATACATTAATTCAAGAGTTATGACTCAAATACAAAAAGGCTCTATGAAAATACATGCCCACTAAGGTAATCAAGACATACTCTACAGCTACTGATATCTGGAATCC